TCTTGCAGTATTCCCTAAAGGCAGCAATTTTCTACTGGTCTCTCTTTCAATAGGGGGTTTGACTTGTGTCTTTAGTAATATTAAACACACAAAAAATATGTTTTTTGGGAAAAGTCATTTTTGCAATGATTAAATTGATTTTGGAAAAATGCAGTAGGAAATAATAATAATAATAATATACAACATTAATATAGCACCCTATATAATTTGTAAAATTACTCTAAAGCGTTTTACAACATATGGATAATAGTAATGGTTATAATTGTGAAAACAAAAAACAAAGGCTTACAATCACTTTTATACATTTTAGCAAGCAATGTGCACATAATTGAACAAATAAAAGAGTGGTATTTACATGACGTCTTTGCAAAGATTCTAAAATGCAGACGTGAAGAGGCGAGTTTTGATGTCCCTCTTGAACTTGGCCAGGGTATTTGACTTTCTAATAGCAGAAGGTAAGCTATTCCACAATGTAGCCAAAACCCCCCCAAAGCATCTGTTTCCGTAGGTATGATAAATATGATATCTACGGGAAAAGCCTTTATTTTATTTATGAGGCCTCAATTCACCTAAAAACAATCACTGCTAGGGGGGACCTGAATTGCTCATATGGATATCATGCAATCATGTCAAAATAAAATTGAAAATAAATCTCAAGGTTAGGGCCAATCCTGGCACTGGTAGCATATCGACATGTGTATCCAAATCTTCAGGCTCAGCATTGAATAAATTCTCTATTGTTAAATGGTGACCATAGGATCTCGAATGTTTCCCTAAGGGTGGGACCCGACTCCACAGACAATCCTGGTACTGGTAGCATATAAGATAAGATGAGTTTATTTCCGGTTCAGGGCTTATACATAAGCGCTCTATATCAGACTCAAAAAATACATACAAAGTATTATTATTCATATAATATAAATAATTTGACAATTATTTGATTGCAGCTCTGTAATTTAAAAAAAGTTCTTGGTTTTTCCAGTGGTTGTCTGGTTCATTTTAAAATTTGTTTAACATTATTTGCTGAAGTAACATATTGAGGTAATTTATTCCATGTTGATGCCGATCTTATAGAAAAAGAGTTTTTCCTTAGCATGGTTGAAGAGTGTTTGGGTATATCCTTTTTGAGTTTACTTGACGGCTGTGTTGTTGAGCGGCGTCTTCCAATAACATTGCAGCATTCCTGGTCGTATCCTCCATTAATAATTTTATATAGTTCTATCATGTCCCATCTTGCTCTTCTAAAGGTAAATGTTGGTAGCTGGAGTACTAGTCTTTCCAGTCTCTGGCTGTAGCTGAGGTTACTCATGCCTGGGAGGCACTTGGTTGCACTCCCTCTATCTTATCAATGTGCTTTTTTAGATATGGTGCTCACACAGGGCTCACATAGTCCAATTGTGAGCGTACTAGGCATTTGTATAATTGAACAAACGACCTTTGATCCATAAATTGGAATGTTCTACCGAGAAGTGCAAACATGGTGTTCGCTTTTTTTACTTTTTAACTGATGTGGTTATTAAAGGATAAATCGGAGTCCATGATAACCCTGATATCCTTTTCTTGGGTGATAGCAAGTTTTCCCCATGGAGATGATAGGTTGGTCCGGGGGTTTCCTGTCATCAAATTGTCTCCTTACCCAATCTCATGTGTTTGCACTTGATGGGATGCATTTTAAGTAGCCATGTCATGTGTCGCTCCATTTACACATTGTATCTACTAGGTAGATCTTTCTGGAGATCAGCACTATCTTCTCTATTTTTTATTATTTTAAAAATCTTGGAAATAGATACATTTCTGACTGGACCGATATTGGAAGATCATTTACAAACATAATGAACAGCGAAGGTCCGAGAACAGTTCCTTGGGGGATTCCCGATGTGACATCGGTCCATTCGGAGCCCGCGCCGTTTACTGATACTTTCTGTTTCCGACCTTTTAAAAATGTTGATATCCAAGAAATAATTTGTTCTGAGAAGTTATACGAATGTAATTTACTTACATACATGTATTAGCCAATCATGCAGAACGGTGTCAAAGGCTTTTTTATAGTCCATATATATAAAATTGATGTTCTGTCCTTTATCCAGAGCCTCTATCCAATAAAATGATAAGGTTTGGCAGATGTATGACCATGCTATGAATTTATTGATTTAGAAAAAAGATAAAAACAAGTAGAGCAATAGAGGCAGTTATCGACAGTCTAAGCTTCAAACGTGTTTTTCAAGTTTACCGTTTTGCGTAAGTTATTATATGATGCCATTTCGGAGAAGTCAGGAAACATACTCTATATTTCATCATCTGCAATAAGCGTACATGTGACGAATCCCGGGAGAAATCATTGTTTTGGTGGCATTATATTAAAGACAGGGGCAGTTATCGACAGCTAAATTAAAATGTTAATTATTTCTATTATCAATCTCTCATAATACATTCATTTGTTCTGACGGATGTCCAATTGCTTAAAAAAGGTATAAACATGTCAAGTGATATGTTAAGTCATATATGTAAACAAAAGCGCTCTCTTTTCTGCACGCATGCATAAAAACAGTCACCGTCACAGCATTTTGATCAAACACATTTTCTAGGTTCCCCTTTCAATATGGTGTCCCATCCCAATTTCATATTCTTTTGATCCCTAATGATGCATTCCAACAGCCCAAAATTTTTGAATTATGATGCATTTTATCCTACAATGATAGCAATCAGAAATTTAATTCAAGAAAACATAATTGAATCTTCTTAAAATAATCATTGTGGAAATGTTTTTAGGTTCTTAATGTTCACAAGATAATTAGTTATATACCTCCTGCATAACAGAATAATTTTCATCAACATTTGATCTATGTAATTGTTTACTTTAAATATATATTATATTCTGTCTATATATGGCTGCATTGTCTTCAAATATTGATATTTTCTTAAAGGGGCTGGTCGGGGAAAAAATTACAATATAAATGGGTCAAAATGCGTTCTCTGGCCTTCCAAAACTTATACCACAGTGCAATATGATGGTCGAGTTCTGCTTGCAATGTCCAGTTTGGACCACTGAAATCTCGGGGAGCCCTGCGTAAATTGAGCGCAGATCTATTTATATATGTCACGTGGTTGTTTCGAAAGCGAGGCAGTGAAGATAACAACAATAGCAGGCCGTCATATGCCATGTCGGACTCAACTAGCGGACAAGACAGCAATACTATATGTAAATAATTGTTTTCAAAGGTCATGTATGATGCAAGTGTAGTATTCCTACCAATATGTTGTTGTTATATATAACGGTATTGATACCTCGTGCCTGTCATGACTTTTGCATGCATCTTTCTCTTTCGCAGTGATGTTTACATTTGGCCTTGTTGATGACGCGCGTGCGGTAAAATTACATCACTGATCTGTGTCAATTGAGAGTTTTAGACTGTCAGGTGACAATTTACGATTTCTTTAATATATTTATAATTTTTTCTCTTAGGGAGTGAATTTCAGCAAAATTTGTATAATTATATTTCATAAGGTATTTTAAGCATGTGTATGCCATCTTAGAAAATATGACATTTTTTCCAAGTCCAGCCCCTTTAATTTGTAATTGCAGTTTATATCGAGCATATTTACAAGAATTATCTACATGGATTTTATTGAGAACTTTGGATTTTTTAGTATTTTAGTTATGCTTGTAAAGTTATGTCTGTTTACTGGATAGACTTTTACAACACTATTGTTGTTGGGTACATGTACTCACCTTACACAATTCACGATAGATATATTGAAATCATACTGGCAACTTTGAAGTACAAGTTATTCATAAAAATATGTTTTTAATGGATAAAGCAAAAATTAATTGGTATTTTTTTCACATACTGTCAATAACTACCTCCGATACTCAAATTGCGGCAGTTATCGACAACCCTATTTCCGACCTTAACAATACCCCGAATGTATATAGGACACTGACAAAACGTTGCAGACGGTTCATGAGTGAAGTTGGATTACACCATTATGTGACGACAAATATTTCAGATAAAAATGTTATAAAAATTTGAGGTGCCATACGTATCTTATTGGTGCCCGTAAGGGAGGTCTAAAAACAGAATCGGTTCTTCTCTTTGGAAAAAAAATCAGAAAATTTGTTTAACCGATGTTGTCTGAATGAAACGGTTCCGAAAAAGGTAACTGTACCCATAAAAACACTGATTGTCTGAAAAACGGTTTGTAATCGATCCAAAACGATAACACCCTCCGTTGCTCTAGTGATGTTTACATAGAGTATTTCTGAAGTCATGATTTCAATGCATTCAGATTTTGAGAAGAAACTATAATTGGAGGAAGCGCCTTCAAGCTCTAGTGGAAGACTGATTGACGAAAGAAGCTAAAATTATAACAACACTAATTTGTGTCAACCCCCTAAATGATACTTTTAGCACTTTGTCTCATGTTTAAACGCTGCACTTTGTTTGCTTTTTGCATTCTGTGTGACATTCAATGATTCATCGACAGCCTTTTTGTATTTTTATGTAAAAGCACAGAAAAGGACCAATTTTAGTACTAAAACCCCTTGATAATCAAACGTCGAGAATTCAATTTCAGGCACTGTACCGAAATTACCAGGTATCAAAACGTACATTAGAACATTCGTTGCCGGCACAGTAGCCGGTAGGATTATTCGAGAATAAAAACAGATCGGAGTAAGGAAATGAATCAGAACACTTGTGACAGCAGTATATCACGATACCAAATAAGTTTCAAGTCAAGAACTTTTTTGTAAACAATACGTTTGCGATTAAACCCTGGTTCTACAATGTGCATTGCAGGAATGAATGGATGGATAATTTTGGGATGGGAACATTCCGCGCCACATAGAAACATTGAATACACAACTCATTTCTGCATATACAATCCAACTTTGAATTTGAATATCAATTTTTCATGTTACTTTCTAAATAATCCAGTCAATTACTTGAATGAAAAGGGTTGTTGTGCGATGAAATAATGAAAATTAGTCACGTTTTTACCTGTCTGCGACTTTCTTGTACAGTCTGTCTGTTCGTCACCTCGGCTTTTATGCGGAACTAATACAGTGTAATTTTGCTGAAAGAAGCAAAATAAAACCACACACTATTTCATTTACGCTGATTTAGTAAAGAGCAAACTAACAAATTGTCATTTACCTATTTAAATATGTTTGCGATTTATTTGATTTTTGCTTCTGAAAATATTATCATTTACTGCGCATTGACGGAAGTTGAAACCGGCGAAGTGCTTTCTCACCTAACATAAGCAAAGAAGATGGAGTTTTTAATAGGGATTCAGGGAAAAGGATTCGTCCTCATGGCGTCAGATACGGCATCATGTCGTAGTATAGTATCCATGAAGCAAGGTAAATACGACGTGGTTATGCTCTGGCGAGTGCACTTAGTTTTATCTACCCAGTATATACAGTAGCTATAGCAAGTCTGAAAATAAATATTTCCCCCAAACGCAGGCACTTGATATACTTGTTTGAGCACTGTACAAACGACTTTGACGTTAAACACACCTGTCAACCCTGACGTAGACAGAGTTAATTGGCCTTCCAGAGGGCAAGACTCCGATGGTGTTGCGACGTAAGTCGTAACGTTGTTTTAGAAGTTACTTTGTTATATTCAAATGAATTACTATTTTTATATTATTTTTATTAACGGTTACTATTGTACAGAAAGTCATACCCAGGTACAAAATGTATGATGTTGACTACAAAAAGCATACATTTAGATTTTTATTTTCATTTTTCATAAATGTAAAATTTCCGATTTCTTTACATCATTATTTTTTAAAAAGAATACTTATATTTAATGTCTTTTGTTATCAACCTAATGATACAATCTTCTTTTAAATGCGACTTTGTTCCGTTTTCCTTAAAAAAGAAAATCACTTGAAAATAGCTCAAAAGACCTATTTCAGATAGGTCAATAGAGCTATTATAGGTCTTTACAGCTATATAGCTCAATCGGCAGAGTGTACTGGACCTGATTAAGTGATCAAGGAACTTTTACCCAGATTATACTTGACTGTTCAGCTATCCAGTTTGGAATTCAATCTTTTTCTCATGATGACCTAGAGAAGATTGAGTTGTTATCCAGACAGTTCATCTGGAAGATACACTGTATACAAGGAGTAGAGAGTTGGCAAACAGCAACCTGTGAATACACTGTTTTTTCTAAACTATTTTTTCTTCTTTTTGTATACCGTTTTAGCACAATCTATATGTGCCACCTGACATTTTAAGACTACCAAGTGTAATATTTGAATCATGTGACTTTGATTCGGAAGTGCCTCCAACTTATACCAGTAATTAGTGTAATCCCTGGATGGGTGCTCCGCAAACCAATCGGAGGAATCTACCAAAGAACAGAACAGAACATGGCAAACATAAAATTACATGACACAAGCAATGAGATCGCAGAATGGTATTTGATGAAAGACTTATAAAATATAACCTTCAGATATCACAAAATGCATATGACTAAAAATTATATTATTTCAAGTAAAAAGCATATATTCAGCACCAAGTAGTAGTATTATCACAGTTTGTATGAATATCACATAAAATTTTGGAAATAAAGTGAAATGGAAACGCTCATTTTTTCTACATATTCTGATAAATAATACAATAAGGTGTAATTGTGCACAAAAACATTTTAATTCAGTTGTCAAAATTTTTGTGGAAATGACAAAATTGTATCACCTCCATTGCTTTTCATGTGTTATAGAGAACCTATAAATAGCACACCTGTCACATTTGCACTGGATGATCCCATATTGATCCTGAAGTCAATGGAGAACGATGGAGGTGATACAATTTGTTATTTCCACAAAAAATTTGACAACTGAATTGATATTTTTTTGTATACAAATATACCTCATTGTGTTATTTATTGGATTTTGTTGAAAGAAAAACCCTCTTTTTCTTCTTCTTTTTAAAAGAACTTTATCAGGGTACTTTATGGGGATATTTATAGGACCTATTCCAAACTGAAAAGTGTGTGATTTTTTCCAATATATCCCTTTAATAAAATTCCCAATTGAGAAACAAAAGCAAATACTGCATACATACATGTATATATAGATAAATTCCTAACAGTTAACACTCAGATTTCAGCACAAGAAGGAATGACAAAATCGTTATGTTGTCATAAAGATCGGCTTAAATAAAGGTTAAGTACCTGGTACCTCTAAATTTCCAAATAGGGTTCTTATGCTGTTGTTATTTTCCCAATTTATCCCATTGTTTGTTTCTCAAAACCCCTCAAAGGTTATTTTTTCATCTCTGCCACTGCGTTGATAAAAATGCATGTGCTCTATTCAAATTAAGCAAGAAAATTGACATGCTAGGAAAGGGATATCCGAAAATTTCATGGTACATGTAGATTTTGACAGGGATTTCTCATGTTATGCATGGGTTTCCAGGGGTGTAATTGAAAAAAATGGTTATTGGTCCTAAGGGCCAATATAAGTTAAAATCTACATGGTCCTGTTTGAAGTGCACTCATCCAGATAACGAGGGCCGGCAGTCCGAGCGATTGTGCCAAAGGTACTCTTCTGACCCCCACCAGAAATTTTGAAATCTAAAAACTCTGAGCTACATTCTAGATTTGAAATGAAGCTTTTAAAATCTGCTGAAATTTTAGATAAATTTACAAAATATCTACTGTCCAGGAGGGATAGTTTGTTGAAAAAACTACTGGTACACCGTGAAAACCATGTGCACAGGGCCCGTGGGCCCGTGGACCATGGCCAGCGGCTAATTCCACCCCTGGGTTTCAATAAAATTTCCAGTTACATATATATGTATCCAACACAAAGTAGGCGGTTAATTTCAGTATATTTCATTATACATGTACCTCCTTATCTTTCTTTCATTTTTTCATGAAAGTAGCAGGTGAATTATCTGTAGTAGGAGGGTATTTTTACCGGCTATTGGCTACAAATGAAACCACTTCATATGTTTGTATGATGCTCACCTGGAAAGATTTGGCCAATTTCCCAGCACCTCCTAGACCTTATAGGCACTAAAGTAGACAGGAAAGCACAATCAATTAATTTATTAGGTAATGGAGTAGCTATAATCACCATATGTTTTCATATTATAGTGGAATAAATAACTAGGTTGTCAAATTATGTGAATTAATTTTTCCAACATTATTTCATTCTTAATATATATACTCCCATCATAAAACATGCATATCTGTTGTTGATTTCTAACTAATATCAGTATTAAGTGCTTATTAATATTATTAAATTAAATTAAATTAAAGCTTACTCAAAGATTATTGTAATACAATTGTAATCTGAATTTCATTTTGTTGCAGATGTTGACAAAATGTTCAAGCTGAGTGACAAGATTGTTATGTCCATATGTGGTGAATCTGGTGACACGGTGCAGTTTGCAGAATACATCTCAAAAAATATTCAGTTATATAAGATGCGAAATGGTAAATATCACCTAAATATCCAGTTTTGTTAAATGTGAGATGGTTAATGTTGCACACATACTTAAATGACCTGTTAAAAGGACGCTCAACCGAATACAGTGTAAAACCATACCAAACATATGCTGACTGTAGGACTGCTCATTTGACTAGTTATATATTTTTTATACGATTAGAAAAAGTTGACATTGCCAAAATGTTATAAAGGGCCAAAACTATCACCAATTTAAAGAAGGAAAAGAATCGCTGGACTGCTGTAAATAGTTTATAAAACAATCATTGGACTGCTTTAACTATAGTTTAGAAAACAATCATTGGGCTGCTGTAACTAGTTTATGAAACATTTATTGGACTGCTGTAACTATAGCTTAGAAAACAATCACTGGACTGTTGTTACTAGTTTAGAAAACGATCAATGGACTGCTGTAACTCGCTTAGAAAACAATCACTGGACTGTTGTTACTAGTTTAGAAAACAATCCTTGGACTGCTGTAACTTGTTTAGAGAACAATCATTGGACTGGTGTAACTAGTTTAGAAAACAATCATTTGACTGCTGTAACTTGTTCAGAAAACAATCATTGGGCTGCTGTAACTAGTTTATGAAACATTTATTGGACTGCTGGAACTATAGCGTAGAAAACAATCACTGGCCTGTTGTTACTTGTTTAGAAAACAATCATTGGGCTGCTGTAACTAGTTTATGAAACATTTATTGGACTGCTGGAACTATAGCGTAGAAAACAATCACTGGCCTGTTGTTACTAGTTTAGAAAACGATCAATGGACTGCTCTAACTCGCTTAGAAAACAATCACTGGACTGTTGTTACTTGTTTAGAAAACAATCATTGGGCTGCTGTAACTAGTTTATGAAACATTTATTGGACTGCTGTAACTATAGCTTAGAACACAATCACTGGACTGTTGTTACTAGTTTAAAAAACAATCATTGTACTGCTGTAACTAGTTTAGAAAACAATAATTGGACTGCTGTAACTATAGCTTAGAACACAATCACTGGACTGTTGTTACTAGTTTAAAAAACAATCATTGGACTGCTGTAACTATAGCTTAGAACACAATCACTGGACTGTTGTTACTAGTTTAAAAAACAATCATTGTACTGCTGTAACTAGTTTAGAAAACAATCAGTGGACTACTGTAACTAGTTTAGAAAACATTTATTGGACTGCTGTAACTATAGCTTAGAACACAATCACTGGACTGTTGTTACTAGTTTAGAAAACAATCATTGGACTGCTGTAACTTGTTTAGAAAACAATCATTGGGCTGCTGTAACTAGTTTATGAAACATTTATTGGACTGCTGTATCTATAGCTTAGAAAACAATCACTGGACTGTTGTTAGTAGTTTAGAAAACGATCATTGGACTGCTGTAACTCGTTTAGAAAACAATCCTGGACTGTTGTTACTAGTTTAGAAAACAATCATTGGACTGCTGTAACTTGTTTAGAAATCAATCATTGGACTGCTGTAACTTGTTTAGAAAACAATCATTGGACTGCTGTAACTTATTTAGAAAACAATCATTGAACTGCTGTAACTAGTTTAGAAAACAATCATTGGACTGCTGTAACTGTAGTTTAGAAAACAAAACATTGGACTATCCTGTAACTGTAGTTTAACTGTGTAACTATAGCTTAGAAAACAATCACTGGACTGTTGTTACTTGTTTAGAAAATAATCATTGGACTGCTGTAACTTATTTAGAAAACAATCATTGGACTGTTGTTACTAGTTTAGAAAACACTCATTGGACTGTTGTTACTAGTTTAGAAAACAATCATTGGACTGCTGTAACTAGTTTAGAAAACAATCATTGGACTGCTGTAACTGTAGTTTAGAAAACAAAACATTGGACTATACTGTAACTGTAGTTTAACTGTAAAGCTTTGACAGGTAGGTAGCTTGGATGGATGGCTATCAAAGGAGTTCAAAGAAATAACCTTAAATTTTACTCAAGGTCACAGAGGCCTGATCACTCTGTTACGTGGATGATACTAAAGTGAGAGAACCCTGAACCTCTTGTACATACAGATGTGTACAAGTTCCTAGTACTAGCCCGTAGGGAGATTTTGAAAAAAAAAATCCTGCACAACCCATCATAGTAAATATTGAAGGGTTCTGTATTTAACACTACACTGACTGATCAATGTTGTAAATATGAAAACCCATTCCTAGGAATGTCCCTCGACATGTTTCTCTAGAATCCCCGACATAAAATCTTCTAGCCCTAATTGTCAGGCTAGTGGAACCAGGAATTTGAGGAGTATAACTACTTTGTGCCAGTATCAGTGTGTGTTTCACAAATACTGTACACGCTTCACAGTTGTGTTGGTGTTAATATGATTGTTTGAGCCATTAGGTGATCTCTTATTACATTTTTAGGTCACCTGAGACAAAGTCTCGAGTGACCTATTGCGATCGCCTTTTGTCCGTCGTCGTCCGTTGTGCGTCCGTAAACAATTTACATTTTCGACTTCTTCTCCAAAACCCCTGAACCAATTTCAATGAAATTTTGCAGACACCTTCCATGGCCAAAGGTCAACAAAAAGAGGTGCCGGTTTGGTCCCCGGCCCCCAGGGGCCTGAGGGGCGGGGCCAAAAAGGGTCAAATTGACTAAAATTTCAAAAATCTTCTTCTCAAGACCCAGATATGGTAGAATCAAATACTCTTCATAGATGGAAGGGTCTTAAGGTGCTTTACCAAAATTGTGAATTTC